CAAAGTCAAGTATAGAAGGCAACCATGCGGAAAGATAATGAGTTACGAAGAGAATGATAGATTATAGAGAATATGGATGCAGATGGCTTCCTTTTTGTAGATTAGAATTTGTATTATTAATACATGTTAAGTCGCTAAAAATATGAGATTATGCTACAGAGCTTGTGAAACCATTGGGTCGCGTGAATTTATAAGAGCATACTTAACTAAATACACTAATATCTTCTCTTACCAGCGGAAGCTTCTTCAGCATAAACCTCTAAAGGTGATGGTGCCAAAGGAGTTTCTTCCCACAAGTTAGGGGTTAAGAAAGCATAGGTGTTACCAATAGCAGCGAAAGCGGCCTTCAATGTGTTCTCAGTAGTTCTGGTGGAACCTGAAGAAGAGGTATAGACATCTTCGACACCGGCTAACTGCATCAACTTCTTAACAGCTGGAGATGCAACAATACCTTTACCTCTTGGAGCAGGAATCAATCTAACGAGAACAGAACCACATTTACCAGTAACCTTAGCTGGTAAAGAGTGGGGAGCACCCAAGTTTGAACCCCAGTAACCTCTTCTAATTGGAATGATAGATAACTTAGCAATGACGATAGCGGCCTTGATAGCAGAAGCAACCTCCTTAGCTGTCTTGATACCTAAACCAATGTGTCCGTTAGAGTCACCAATGACAACAACAGCCTTCATTCTAGTTCTTTGACCAGCTCTGGTTTGCTTCTGGACGGATCTAATCTTCATAACCTCATCCTTTAATTCAGGTAATAACAAATCGATGATTTGGAATTCCTTGACAGGTAAAGAGTGCAAGTAAATCTCCTCAATAGAAGTGATCTTACCGGCCTTCACCAATCTACCTAACTTGGTAACTGGAGTCCAACCTTTTTCTTCGTTGTCACCTCTTCTGCCACCTCTTCTGCCGCCTCTTCTGTTGTTGAAACGACCAAAGTTTCTGTTACCTTCTTGAGCTGGTGCTTGAGCTGGTGCTGGAGCGGACATCTTTCTTGACTTTAATTAATAGCTATTCTTGTCGGAATGTTACGTGGAAAGCCGGGGTGGTGGTTTTCAATCGACAAAATACTAGAGACCAAAGTTCATTATAGTTGAGAGTTTGAAAAAATTTTTTTTTAGTCTCTCTCGCACATCATCTTTGTGCTATGTAACTTTGTGTAACTACTATGGTATCTGAAACTATACCACAATTACCCATCTCACACGACACGACATTAACGCGACAAAAATTACGCTGTCCGATTAGATCGGGTGACCAAAAAATAGCACCTATCCTCTACGGTTGGCTCCGGTTCGGGACCCGGCACACTATCCATGATCGGTTGTGGGGAGGAAACGCAATCATCGACGTAGCCAACTATGAACGAAGGACATTATTCTAACATGAAATGTAATTGAGGGTGTAAGTACTATGTTTCTTGCAATTGGTCTCGTATACGTTGCTGGTGATAAGCGCCAACTTGGTGTTAAGAGCTGTCTTAATATTTCCCCAAGGTGATTTTTTAGGTAAAAATCATGCCTGCAGGACTAGCAATGTATGAGAGCAATATTGCTATAATATCATACCCCCTACCACGCAACAACAAAATTGCCACTTTATTCATATATAAGACTTCTAGTAGGATTAAAGATCGCGTAGGAGTCAAGTACTGCAAATATCACGAAGTAATCGATCGACATGTCTAATATTAACAACGCTGCTGACGCTACCAAGAAAACAGCTGAAGACGTTAAAGGAGACTTTAATAAGACTAAGAAAGACGTGAGCAAAAAGGCTTCAGAGGCTACGGAAAAGAAGGGAAATCGTGGGGACGAGTTTAAGAAGGAAGTCGATGACTTAGAGAAGGAGGGCAAGACATACTTCAATAAATTAGTTGCATTCATCAAGGAGAAGTCTTCTTGTGCTTCTAAGGTGTTTTCTGCTAACTTTAAAGAGGGCCAAAAGAAGACATCTGCTGCTTTGGCCAAAACCAGTGAAGAATTTCAGAATCCCGTTGTCATTGCACAAGCTCTTGTTGGTGTAACTGGAGTGTTCGCAGGTTATTTAACCTACTTAGAAAGACATAGAATTGACACAGACAATAAGCTTGTTTTGGGTATTCACGGGTCTATCATCACGGGTTTAGTTTTACTTGACGGCTTTTTATTCCGCAAGTATTATCCTAAGTTTGACAAGAAATATCCATAAGCATTTTATAACGTAACGTTATCGGCTTGTTGCTATAGCTGAGTTAGCGTGATTGGAGTGGCCACAAAAGAGAGGACGAAGAAACTATTAAAGCTAACATTGCTGAACATAATTGTTCTTATGCTGCTTTAGCTAATCTCCATTGACTATGTTTATTGTGCTTGTTTATATTTAATAGTATGACGTCGAATAACGAAGTGTAGACTTACATCATATTTCTTCAGGGCTGGTGACTTGAAGTAAAGCGTGACCGGAGATATGAATGTACAATAAACGCGCTTATAGTAGTCCTGCAATTAGATGTGCGTATTTCCAATAGCCAATCAGCAAGCCTAATTGTCTGGATCATCCACAATAGTTCATCCTAAGAGGTCAGAATTGTTATATTCTACCGGCTATCATCTACAATACCTCTCTAAATATTGTTGTAGCTCTTGATCATGCGCAGTTCCCAGTAACCAAGGTTCATATCAATGCCACTCGTGTAACTGACTTTGGCAGTATGTATCTTTCATGAGGTACAGTCACACTTTTGAGGTCATCTCACCTTCTGGTAATAAAGATTCTCAGGCCCTCAATTGCCAAAGTCGACTCTGAAAGTCTCGTAAACACAAGATACGATTACTCTCTACTAAAAGTCTATTTCAATTTTTTAGAATCTCTCAATCTTTAGTAGATGCTGTGAGGAAATATGTAATACTCGTTATCTATGAAAATATCCAAATATATCTTGATGAGTACCCTGAATCACTGTGCATGGGTCCTTTGTCCGGAAACTCTACTCATGTATAATCGTTTCGTCAACTCTTGACATGCGCCAAATGGCCATATTTTAGGAGATTGCCAGTGCTGCATAGTTCTGTCCTCGACTCGCATTCCGATAAATGGCCGAGACTTAGTCTGCGTGGTCTTGAAGCAAAATATCACCTATTAACTCAAAGCCTGCAACCTGATGTTGGTTTATGGCTGAGATGTTGATTCGAAGAAGATGTAAGTGACCAACTTATCGGCATTGTTGCTGTAGCTCTTCAATTGATTAACTAAATTACAATAGCGTTGTCTGAAACTTTGCTAGACGTTTGTGCGTAGCCGTGATATGAGAGGGCATACCGATTGTTCGTGATGAGCCAAGAATGCAGCACCGCAGCTGCCATAACCCCGCCGCCGATCTGAGCTGATCTTTGTCATATGATGAATTTTTCCGGGCTTTTTCTTTTTTCGTCCACTAGGAACAAGTTACCGGCACATTGCAACATTGTCGGCACCTGCACTTTATTTTCGCTTATTCGCATGTGAAAAGTTCAAATTAACGCGATGAGTAAACACAACAGGGGATGATGCGCCTTGCAACATCTATCCTGTTTTCTGCTTGGCTCTTTCTCAGGAAACGAGCGGAACACAAATATGGGAACGGAAAAAGACCTGAAAAACAGTTCCACAGTAGTATACTTCTGCGTATATGAAGTGGTCCCCTCCTGAAAGATCTTCATATGCTTATCGTTGTTTCTTTCTCAAAAGGGTGGCTAGAATAACTACCCCCTGACCAACGCTGCCATAAATCAATCGTGCACCTCGGTGATTCAATATGAGCCGGCTGCGTATTGTTACGCAAGGTTCTGGGTAATATTTCCCGAAAGTTGAATTCGTAACTGTCAGCTCTCTCTTTGAAGAAAGTATGTGGCTTGGTACCGTGCTCCACTACTGGACAAGTCTGCACTTCGCACCATAGGAGCTGTCTTTAACAACAGTACGCATAGTTCCAAATACAGGAAAGACCCTTTCGTAGACAGGGCACAAAACGTGGTCCTCGGATGATGACAAAAAACGGCTAGATAAAATCTATCAAGATGTCAATTGACATAGGATTCTTAGCTTACGGATTATACCTGATACATATATATCATTAATACTATTTGCGAGTACTATCTACAACGATTGTTGGTTGTCTCTTCTGTAAAAAAGAAAAGAATAGCGTAAAAGAGCGAGTAAAATAATATGTGATGAGGTGCGTGTTTGGGCGGCATCTCTCTTATTGTTGCTTTCTTCTTTGGGTCTCAAGCATTACTAGCGCTGTTTATGGATTGCTATGCATTATGCCGGGCATACAGAAGCTGTACGTGTTCATGAGCCCGTTCCTTCTATTAACTTAACGACATCACTACTCCTGTAAGAGAACTGCCATTCTTCGAATCGCATCATCGTGAGATACAGGGAAGAGGCTGGCGAGAGATAAATATAAATATATTTCGATGCCTTCGACCACTTGGGACTAGTTCTTTAAGTCGCTCAATATTTCCAGTTTGACGAGTTGTGACAGTAACAAACGGCCTACAAAGTCAGTACCGTATAAAGTGTTGAAGGATATAGAGCGATTGCATCGAGTAGGCGATAGTGTGAAAACAATCGATTATACATGTCCTTCTCAAGTTTAGTTTCTACGCAAATTAATTACCTACCTGATATGCTAGACCCGTCGGATACGAACCAATTAAATGAATTTACTGGTGGTCATTCATCGTTTGATCCAATTAATGGCCAAGATGATACGACCTTAGAAGAGTTTATGGGCATGACTTCTTCTCAACCATATTCGGCACAAAATGATATTATATCTCTGGCACTGTATCCTTTATCGACGGCGTCATATCAACAGCTTCAATCTCCAACCCTTCCTCAGCAAACTTCGTTACCTATTTCGGGTCTTCCACAAAATCAACTGTATCACTTTCAAAATCAGCATCAGCATCAACACCAACAATTTCGTCCTCAACTTCAACCATCCATGGCGCTGCTGCTGCTGGTTCTGCTGCTGCCCCAAATGGCATACTCATTGAACAGTTCTGGTGCGGTGCGTACGGGTAATGGTCCGAACAGCAATGCATTTTTATTCAACCCAAAAATGTATAATGCCCTCGAATACGACAGTCTCAATAACTCTCATAACTTTGGCAGTACCGATTCGTCTGCGTTGTCGCATTCAGCTTTATTCAATAATGCCGGCTCGAATTTAAATGATGTGACGTATCCCAGCGATACAACTTCCAATCCGAACGTCTACTTGTATTCAAACCAGACTTCATACCCGAATGCTAATTCTGAGAATCTCTCTCTGCAGATCAATATATATTCGGGTACCATTGGGACTGACCAGAAACAAAGTCAGGTCGTCGATCAAAATCAAGCAAACGGTCATAGGGTGCAGAACACCAGCAATAGCTATTCTGGTTCACCCAAGTTCATATCAGAGCCGGCGGTCCCTCCAGGTAAATCATTTGATATCGCCCAACAGCAGCACCATTTTTCACCCATGCTGTCTCTTCCAAGTGCATTGAGTTACCGTGGTAGCTTTAGTGGTCCAAGTTCGGGTTCAGAGTTTAACTATTACCTGGTGTTGCCCGATGATACCAAAAAGAATGATGACACAACAAGAGTACTAGACAAATACGAGGAGAATCCAGTAAGGTCAGATGGATCAAAGAGATACAAGGTCATCAGAGGAGTATCTGCGGGAGGTTGTTCTACACGACCACCAAAAGTGTCAGCAGGAAATGATTCAATCTATTTACCAGTCAATTTGAATATAATTGGGGCATCTGTTAAGGATATATGTTATCCCAAATGGTCCATTTCAGAAAAAGAAGATAGAAGGAGAATAATAAGGATTGAGAGAATCCAAAATGGTCCAAAATTGACTACGCACTTCACTATTGTTGGTGCAGCGAACGAAAACCCAGTGACTTTACCTCCACCTCCAAATATAGATGTGGTAGAGGTGTCTTGCTTAGAGTGCACTGTTAAAATAAATGATGAAAACGAGAGTAGCGATGATGAAAATAAAAAAGATCCTATCACGACTTATGTTAAGAGTGAAAATGATGGAGAAGCATACCAATATTACATAACATCTGTCGAAGTGATTGAAATAGTAGAACTTTTAATTGGTATGCAATCAAAGGATGTTGCGGAAAGGCGTAGAGAGAGAGGAAGAGTTCGCTCTAATTTGGTTCCATTTTGGTCCAAAAAGCCAATCTCTTCCAGAATGAGTGAATCGACGTCAAGTGTGAATGGTCCTGGTGGTCCGACGAATCAAGACTTTCGAAATGAGCTCGCAAAGAGAATCATGGGATATGAAATAAGAAAACCGAGAGGCTTTGATAAAGAAGTTAGGATATTAAGATGGGAAAAGTTGGTTCCTGCTTTGAAAAGAGCATTACAGAGTTACTACACTGAGATACCTCTGAGCGACGCACACCTTGAATTTGATTGAAAAGGTCTCAGATAAATAGAGAGTGTCGGTCCATTGAACTTAACTACTTAAGTGACAATTTTAATATCATGTGTCCTGTTAAAGATATCAAAAAGCCAAAAAAAAAAAGATAAAGATTAAAAAATAACTTGCATTTTACATTTATTTCAGTTCACCTTAATAGATACTAGATAGACCGTTTCTTTTCCGTGTAATATTAGAATAAATGATATACGATCTCAATCAATTGTGGGAATATTATTTCTTGAATAAGGTATCAATGATTTCCACCCCCCTATACTGATTCGATAACCGTGCGATGGGTATTTTCTTAGTCTAATCGAGCCGAATGTGACAAGAAAAAGAAACTTTTATTGTAAGCACGACATGCATCAAAAACGCAGCTGATGCGTGACTACAGCTAACAAAAGAGACACTAAAAAGAAACCATCCAACCTGTAAAAAGAACTAGCCAAACAATTGACAGAGTCATGGCTCATGATCATTTCTTTATGTTATCGCTTCCCCTTTGTGAGATAGAAACTGTTTTCTTACCAATTTTGACAAATGCTAAGAAAACAAAAAGCAGCTTCTAATAGAGAACAATCGTAGTGGAGATGATAGACGTAAATGAGAGATTTATTCAACTTTTCATTCGGCCAAAAATGACCAGCGTCATGGTTCAGCTTCATTTGCCTTAAGCTAAGAAAACACAAATATCTATAGCAATTGACTGATCGCTAATCGCAAAAGTTCACTATTTTTGGGGGTAAACGTCGAAGAGTAAAATACTAAAAGGCTAAAAGACTGAAGCTTGTTTCTGCACAGGTCCAATGACCCGGCGGCTTTGCAATGTAGGGGTTTCCAAACCGCCTCGTTCTCTCAGCAAAAAGCTGAAGTCCGAAGGTAGCCTTGATAATACTATACATGTAAACATGTTGCTTATTTGGTCCAGAACATCATGCAAAGCCCAAAGTTGCTAATAACAACTAGTCCTCCTTCTTGCTATGTTACTTGAGAAGCTATTTTTTAAAGATAACCAAATCTACATGCTTCTCAAGAATCTGTTACATTGGCATTGGGTTGATTGCATTATCAGGTGAAATAAAAAGAACTAGTTTGTATATATAGCTGCTAATTATCTTTGCGATGTAGCAGAAATGATTCCTACAATTAGCGACATTGCAATAATTCCTTTGACCTCATGGTTACTGCTAGTCATGAACCAATTTGCGCTCCAGTATCTATTTATCTACAGCACAAATACCCAGTATATAAATTTTCCATGAAGTGCTTCTTTCTATCATGCTGGTTTAAATTTGCGCTCTTTACATTTTGATATTTTAATGACTTTGCGATGCGCGTGCTAAGAAGCTTTGAGTATTGTTTTACTGTGGTACTTTGTCCGCACTTATACAGTACTCGTCTGTCAAACCTGATTTAATTTAATACGCGATTTTTCCCCTTTTAGTAAACGTGTAGTCTTTTATGTCTCGGAAATTTTCACTCCTTACTTTAGAAAGCTCACCACGACGGGTTACTGGGTAAGCATCTTAAAATTTATAATATCAAGAAAAGTAAAGACAACACACTTAATATTCAAATTTACCTCAAAAAGTATTGAAATCTCGAAGATAAAGATCCCAGACATAATCTAGAAATATTAGTAGCATTTGAATCAAAAATCGAGGGTCTACTGAATAGTTGTATAGTCTGGAACTTACTTCGAAGATGACAAGCCATTTCACCAGAGAAAGTGCCATAGAGGAGGTACTCTTGAGCAGTGACTTCTATTCGTCAAATAACCCATTTAACATTAGAGCGGGGAGTAATGGACATGCACACAGCCTTAAGAATTCTATAGGAATCAAGCCATCGACCTCATCGACGTCAATCAGTAAGAGCTTACCAGCTGTTGAAAAGACGGGCTCCATGAAAAATTCACCTTCGATTACAGCATTAGAACATATCTTGAATGAAAGGAGCAAAGAGATGCTTCCATTTCAATTATCGAAAGAAGCAATTCAGGAGGAGGAGGACTCTGGTAAGTGCATCGACGAAACTTCTTTGAAGGACATGTTCCATCAACCACCGCACCCTTACTACGCATCGGGATCCGTCGATACAAATAGAAATTCCAACCAGTCTATACAGACTTTTGAAACAGCTAGGTCCTACAAGTCTAATGGAAGTGGGAATAAAAAGTCCATTTCTACAATTGGCGAGTCTGAAGTAGGGGTTGCTACTTCGTTGCTAGCTGCCCCAGCGACCAGTGATCTTCAACCGTCAGAAGAAGGAGTAAGATCGTCCGTTGAGAAAGAAGGTTCAAATTTGTCTAGGAAGGAATTTGAGTTGAAGAAAGAAGCAAAGACTTCGACAGATTTGGCAGCGCTCAACGTTGATTCTTTCGATCATCACAATGTGTCGCAAAATGATATAAGCTCTCCAACTAAGCAAGATTCTAACGAACTAAAGAACATCGATCCGCTTAGCTCTCCATCGAAGACTAACTCATATTCGATGCTTGAAATAGCAGAATACAATAAAAGCAATTCTGTCCAAGATGAAGGAAAACCCAATCCAAAAATGTCTCGCAAAAGCGTTATATCTAGTGCACCTAAAAATGCTCCGAATACTGAAGGAACCGTATTCAGGTCACCTCATTCTCGTTCTAGGTCTTCTCTTCATTTTTCTTTCGATAAGAATAAAGAACAACCTGCATTACCTGGTAGTCACAGAAGAAGCAACACGGAAGGAAATTTATCGAAGATTGCAAGTTCGGCTCCTAATAAGAAGAGATTTAGCGTCCGAGCTCTATTTAAAGTCAAGTCAAAAAACCACTCTTTAAGTGAATCAATTAATGAACCGCTGCAGCCTTCAAAGCTTAAATCAAAGTCTTTTTCAACGTCGAATCTTTCTGGGGTCTCGGAACCAAAAAATTCTTCCGCAACAAGTAATAAAAATGCAAGGAACGGAAATACTGAAAGAACTAGTGCTATGAATCATAAACGAAACGTACTTTCCCAAAGTGGTGCAAATAAACCAGTAAATGAAAAAAATGAAGTGGCTACGGACAATAAAATGCGTTCCTCAAAGTCTTTAATGGGCATTTTTAGGAAAGGGAAGAACCACGAAGACAGCTTTGAAATGGTTCAGAAAGACACAAAGAAACAAGCACCAGTCGATGCCATGGATAAAATTAATGCTATTTCGGAGCCACTTCACACACCTAAGGAATCCTATATAAGAGATGGTGCCTCTCCGACTGCTCAAGATTTCCATGAAAAGCAACGATTCAAATCTGATACAAATATCAATTATATAAGAGAAGTCGATATGGATAATGTCACTCCAAAAGTGAGTGTTTACGAATCTGATGACTCTCCAGAAGAAAAGGTAAGGTATGCGCCTTCCTACCCAGAGTTAGCATCTAAGGATAATTATCCAAGCTTGAGACCAAACAATGGAGTGATTATATCTTCGTTACCCTTGCTGCCAAAACTTGAAATTGAGAATGACTTGATATCTTTTGGGTCCCCATTTGATGCAAAATATGAATCAGATACACATCGTACCCCTAAACAGAGTGAAGAATTGAACGAAGAAACCGTTTTTAGTGAAAAGAAGAACGATATCTTTTCTGTTCTCGATGGCAATGACCGTGATTCGTGCCCGACTAAGGTTAATGAACAATTGTTAGGAGAAGCTTTATTCCCAAAATCGTTGAGCGCTCAAGAAGTCGAGAGCATTGTGTCATTGGAAAGGTCACGATCAGTAAGATCTGTGAAATCCCATAAACGTAATTCATTTGTAAACTTCGAAGGAAATAGTGAATATGTTCAATACGAGGGAGACGCTCATAAGCAAAGCCCATCAACAGGTTTAACAAGATCTACCAGCATTCTCAAAAATTCTAATTCAAAGAAGAGCCTTAATGTGAATGATTATGAACAACCAATAACGTCAATCGATGACACCATGGATATTTTTGCGGATTTGGAAGAATATACAAACTACATTGATTTTGATAATCTAAATTTCTCAACGTCTCCCGTTCAAACACCCGATGGACATTCTCAAATTGCTAGTCAGGTTCCCGAAATATCGTCTGATGAACCACTAATCGCACTTTATGATCAGTCAGCTCCTTTCATTGCTGATCATTTGTCACTTTCAGCATCTAAAGATGCCACCAAACAGATTGGCAGTTCACTTTCGCCAATCATTATAAGTGATGATTCTTCAATTCAACATGATTGGAAGGGAAATGGCTCTTCATCCAATAAGTCTCCCATTCCTGTAAGTGATGAATCTACTATTTCAAGTGTGAAAGAATTGAAGCCAGCTGAGAACTTATCCATGAAAAGCATAGAAGACAACCTCGCTCAAGATATCAGTAGCTTGACAATTCAAGGTGATAGCAGTACTCCTATTAAAAATGGTTCGCCAAATGATTTTGAAGATAATTTAATTTTGTTCAATGAAATTCCTTCATCTGAATTGAATGAAAGTACACCGATTCAAGTTATGCACACTTCGCCCCAACAACTTGCTCAATCTGGTTTGTCTTCTGGAAACTATATCGAAGATGAACTAACACCGTTACAAGCTCTGGTTACGACTTCACCACCGACTGAAGATACGCCTCCTTCGGTTTTATCATCCTCATCTAATTTTACGGAAAAGACAAGAAGGATGTCCACCCATGAAGGCGATATCAGAAAAGAATCTAACCATCCTTCGGCTTCTGTCATTGATGCATCTCCGATTTTGGAATCGGCTTACAAATTGTCTGTTGCATCAAATTCACCTGTTTTGAATGAAGATGGAAGAAATGCTTACAACAATCGACCTATCTCGATGTCTTTCAGAGGCCTAAAAGGTCCTTCTTTTGGCAATAAATTGTCTCAGCATAATTTGAGAAGTAGTGATAGTCATCAATCTTTCAATATTTCATTCGGAGATGAAGATTCTGATCTTGCCGGTAGCGAAGTTGGTGCTGGATTCGGTTCTTCGGATGACGAAGATAATATCTGTTCAGATGAAGAAATACTGGCTACGAATGGAAGTCTTAATGATAAAGAGAACCAGTACAATAATCCCCTGTCCAAGAAAGAAAGGAGAGGTTCTTTAAACCGAAATATATCAAACGTATCATCCGTGATCACACCACCTTCGGTTCCTTTCAAGCACAACAGAATTCCATCGATTTCTTCTAACTCATCTGTTTCAAGTCCAAGGTCATTCAGTTCAATGATATCAAGAAGAGTCAAGAGATCGCCACAAGTGCATTCGATGCTGAATATGACAAAAGTCTCGAAGAGACAACCCAAGGGAGTAAAATTCTCCTCAAGAATTATCCTTTACGATACCTACGATGATGAGGAATATGATAGGCACCCTGATGCAGCCACTTGTAACCAATTGACCCCTTTGTTGGCTCAACAAATCAAAGAAGAATTGAATAGTGTAAAAAGTGAAATGGAAGTACACCAAGATTCGAGGTGTTTCACCCACTTCTTTTAATTTGCTCGCATCAATGGCACATGCTATCTCACTTGCCTCTATTACAAAACATACAATGAATGATATACTTTAATAATTAAGCTTTTTCTGTATCAAATTTAATAAAAAACGCATTAGTACAAATATTTGACAAACAATTCATTTATCAGCTAAGGCGCCCTTCCCTTCCGAATCCACGCCTTTAGACTCTTTCTCTAGTTTTTCCTTAACTAACTGGTCTGCATAGGTCTGATGAGCACTGTTAAACACTTTATAAAGTACATCGTAGTCTTTGGGATCAATTTTTGCAATGATCTGGTCTGGGTTCTCCATTAATACGACAACATAGTCATCATCCCTTCGGTCCACACAAGTAGTTTTTGCCCAAGGAGCAATATCATATTCCTTGAGGGTTATAACAGGTGGTTTATCATTTATGTAGGCTGGGTAATTAGACATTTTCTGATTATCTAAGTGTAACTTAAAATGAAGACCATTAGATTCTTGAATAAAATATTTGAACTTTTGGTTAGATACAGTCTGTGAAAAATAAATCTTTTTATAGGTTTCCTTCTTCTAATTTAATACTATAACAAGGAAGATATGATAGATAGACCTCATAAGAAAGTTATACCTGGACAGTATATCGTACCTTCTTATAATTCAAATAAAAAAAGTGGAAAAATTGAAAAATTTTTGGCAGGAGAAGGTACAACAATATATGAAGTGGAAAGCGATGACAGCCCATCAAGAAAGGTTCCAATAATAGTTTCTACAAGATTAGGGGATATTAAATACAAGAATATTGGCCCTTTGGAAGAAGAGAAGTCTATTGGGCCTGTTGAGCAAATTTTGGTAATGGTATTACCGAAATCAAATGTGTATACTCAACACTCGGATGAAATAAGTGATGGAAAGTATGATGCTAGTGTTTCTATCAATTTGCCGAAAGAAAATGATATCGTTTTGGTTCGAATAACAAGAATCAATCAAAAACAAGCAAATTGTGAAATACTATCTGTTGAGGGACATGGAAATATATTGACAGATCATGGGCTAGGGTCAAATGGCGAATCGGCCCACCTCTCAGTGCCATCTGGAGGTGGTGCACAAAGTTTATCGAGCCATCAGGGTGTTGCATCAAGTCAATCGACATCATTAAATGCTGTTGCTGTCGATTTGGGAGAGACATTCAAAGGAATAATCAGAACGCAGGATATTCGGTCCACCGACAGAGATAAGGTAAAGATGATTGAGCTGTTCAAGCCTGGCGATATTGTAAGAGCTATCATAATTTCCTTAGGTGATGGGTCTAACTATTATTTGAGTACAGCTAGAAATGATTTGGGAGTTGTATTTTCAAGAAGCGAGGGGTCTTCTGGGGATGTGATGTTTCCAATTGATTGGCAGCATATGCTTGACAATAGAACAGGACAGATTGAGAAGAGAAAATGTGCTAAACCGTTCGCATGATGTGTATTATAGAATTTATAAAATAAATAGATTTCTAGGCCTAATTTTTACTTAGACTTCGGGAGTAGGATATTTCAACTTTTCATGGTGGCCCCTCAAATCGTACTCACTCAATCCTATTTTAGAACCCAACTTTTCAAATCTATTGACGTAATTCGTCTTCTTTTCTTCTGCAATCTTAATCATTACATTCCAGTATTTAGAATGATCATATTCAAAGTTGACATTCCCTTCAAAGTCTTTATCTAATTGTTCAATAGGGACATAATTTGAAAATGGCTCATCAAATACAAGCTTTTCCCTTGTTAAGGGGTCAATAAAGGGGTGAATAATTTTTAAAAATGTCCAGCCTAGCCACGGAATATTGGTAAGCAAAGCTTTTCCTAACCTTTCTGGATAATGTGTTTGTAAGATATGTAAAACTTGTCTTCCAGTACTGACGGGTGGAATCTTTCCCCCTTCTGTTCCAACAGGCGAAGCTTTAAAGTCGATAAGTAATGCCAACGAATCCTGCCCTGAAGGCATATAATCAATCACTCTTTCCAACATATATACTAAATGTTGCACTTGCCTTAAGGATGTCTTTGTATTTTGACGACCAGGTTTCAAGTAAAGACATGGCCGTGAATCATTGTCATATCCAAGAATAACTTCCTTTCCTGTTTCATTTTCAGGGGAGCAAAGCTCGCCATTTACCTTGTTATCTTTCTCAAAGTTTCCAGCGATACCAAACTCTCTTCTCCACGCTAATGTTAACCCAATCCTATCTATTGCTTCCTTATAATCCCATTTAGTGGCTCTTAAGTATCTAAAAAAACATTCCCTTGTTAGCCATGACTTTTCGGCTTCGCTCAATTCTTCATATTTCGACTCGTCTTTCTTCTTATGATTATCTTCACTAATGGCAATTTTGATGCCTTCAGTTGCAAAATGCTTGTAAACTTTTATATACTTATCATGTTGCTCTTCGGTTAATTCAGGCTCTTCCGGTATCTTGGACTTAGAAGTGGGCTCCTTGAAAGGTAAGTAAACTACTTCTCCCAAACTTTCGGCCGTTGCCACCGACGATGATGATGATGACTTTAGAGATTTATCCTTACCTTTTAATTTACTCAACATATTTAAAGAACATGGAAAACCTTAACCAATGCAAATAATCTTCCTATATAGTACTTTACAACAATCTAAAGTAGCTTTATAATTAAAGTTGTACTTCACTGTATTTGGCAAAACGATTATCAATTTACCGATATTGATGCCCAGAAACGCGTTGATGCAATTAAAATTTTAACTCTTCCGGCAGAATCAGATCGGGACGGCGGAACAAAAACTTTCCGCAGGCCGCTGCGAGTATCCAGATTCAGCACCTAAGAACCCTGCTTCCAATATTGTTCCGCGGAAAATAAGTCCTAGCCCAAAAGCTTTAAACCTTTCACTTCATTACACCTCTGCTTGGCTTCTTTAGAATGGTAGATAGTGCACCCATGTGGTCTACCTTATATCTATAGTGTGGGATGCTATAAAAGAGTTCGTAACCTTCTATGGAACGGTTCTACGAAAGTCTGGATTTTACTGCTAGTCCAAAATTTAATAACTTGTCTTTTGGGATAGCTGCTGCAGTCGGCCTAAAAAAATACCAAATTATAGTCAAAACAATTCCATTCCCTGCTACTCATGTGTTGGAGTACTTCGAAAGAGTAAATTTTATATCGTTCCTATATAGGATTCTAGCAAAGTGTATCATACTTTCTCTTTTCAATCAAATCCTGTCCTTGCACAGATCATCAAAAATCTACAAAATATGCTTTACAAAATTTTGTAAAATTCTGTTAGCTTGGATAAAAGTCATTTGGACCTGAATGTTTATTACTATATCTAAAACTATCATTCTTTCTATCTCGCTCTGTTGAATTCATCTCACTTATTGCGATGTCTTTATATGCACGCTGCTTTGTGTCTCTACCTGGGCCTCATCTCAGATTGATTTTAGCAAGTTATCGAAATAACGTTTGTGTAATCATATTACCCTAGGAATGGAAAGTAAAAGTCAACATTGATATAAGTCCGATATAAGATACTTGAAAGGAGAATTTGAATTTAATCAATAGTATGGGCCAGGAAGTGCCAACGAGAAGGAAAAGAATATTGAGATTGGTCGAAGTGGCCACTAATAAATGTGTGCAGAATGTTAATAAGTTACAGGACGTAGGTGGCACCCCATTTCATTTACTCCGACCAGTACTTATGAAGATGAGTGCTAAACAGCTAAATCAAATTGAGCTTCAAAGTCCTCAAATTATGCCTTTCTCGGATGAACTATGGCCTGCTCTAATCGAAAGGGAATTTCCTGATCGTCCACCAATATCCAAGGGCAAGATGCGCCAATCTCAAGAAATGCCCAATAAGACACTATTTTACCGGTATGATAAAGAGAGAGAGCTTTTGAGGAATGATTCTGCCCAAAGGTTACGTAAAATGACTGAAAAGCTCAAAAAGGAGAAGTCCGCAAATTCAATTGTATCTGTTTCCCATGTCTTAAGAGATCCCACTGTGAAGAGAAGACGAAATTATTCAGATGGATATACGAGATCAACGCCCAGTGCGAAGAAGAATTCAATTTTACTGAAGGCCCGAAAGGATTTACAGAATAGGTCTCTAATGTTTCCAGGATATTCTCAAAAAGTCAAAAGTCATGATCCATATGATGCATTTAATCACATTGAGATTCTACCTCCCAGAGCTGCATCAGGGCAAACAAGAAATAAGCCGTCATCATTTAACGCCCAACAGAAACGCCGACCTGTATCGACTTCCATACAGCCAAGTTCGCAGTCTAAGAGAGAGAAAAGAGAGATTCCAAGCTCTACAAATTCTGATCATTCTTCAAACGAAAAGGTTTTGCTGCAATCATTTAACTCAGTAGCTTCTTCTTCACCAAAAAAGCGAAAGCCTGAACCATCTATCTTCTTAAAAGGAAAGAGACCAAGGGGGCCACGATTAGAACCTAAAATAATCAACAATTCACATAACTTGCAAACTGTCTCTACTAATGACAGAAGTAGTATTCCAGTCAAGGTCAAGAAATCTTAACGTATATACAAACTATTCACTATAAAATTGCATTATCTAGTTCTTTGCTTCTTAAGCAAACGACCACTAGATGTATCAGATAACTTTTTTTTATAAGCCAAGGTGTCTGATTTTTTTAATTTGTCTTCTCTATCATTATTTATTAATACATCTCCCTTAACATTGGTATCATCGATCTGTATTGTTTGCTTGTATGATTTTATTCTCAATCTACCTGATATAAGTACTCGTTCAGCGTTTCCCGTTAAACAAAACTTTGCTCTACTGTGATCTAAACCCAAAGTTTTCAATAAGTTTAAAATATCGTCAGGGTTTCTTGTTTGTAGTGGCCCCGTTGCACCACTACTAACTACCAACCCTCGTGACCTTGATGCCCTTATTAACTGTAACACATTATTAAAGAAATTTTTCCTTGCCAATGCTGCAGTAGTACTCAAGGTCATATTCTCGTTAGGTCCTTGAACTGTGTAGCCAGCAGGCCCAGATATCAAATTAGAATAGCAAATTTCAAATTTTATTCCTTTTTCTAATGCACTGCCCACTGTTTTATGCTTTAAAAAGAAAGGTAATCGACTGCTTAAATTGAACGATATCAAATCGATATCTAGGTTAGATGATGCTATTTGCAATGCCTTTTCAGTCAAAGGTTGAATACTTATTATATCAAAGTAATTTTGTAATTTGGAGAGTCCCTGACATTGTGATGGGTCACTTATTGTCATTGTTATTCTTGTAAACAATTTCAAATATTCATATTCCTTCAAATCTTTTTCCAACTGTGCTATTTGAATTGGATTTATCTGAGATGGGTCCTTCGCTGGTACCTTAACACTTTCGCTTAGACAAAAATTAATTGCAATATGAGTGTAACCCAAAACATACAAAGTCACAATAGTATTTTTAAGGGTTATTATTTGCTGACTGCTCGGCTTAGAGGTGTAGTTATTTACCGGCCATGGCACATTCAAGTCAAATATCATTATTTGCTCATCTACAAAAGTAACATGAAAGTCTATCTCAAAATAGTCATCGGATTTTTCCTCTAGCGTGCGACTTGTGATATCACCAAATTTGGAATGTTCAAGAAAAACATAGAATATCAAGCTGCTAATATCGCCACCGCCACCTTTGTTGGATATATATTTGGGCGTAGCTATTGATTATATGTGTTTCAGGTGAATATCAGGGGGTCGAAAGATGTCAAAAGCAGAGATAAATAAGAATTTGTTTGTGGATAAGTCACTCGCCCCAAATGAGAGTGGTATAATAGATATCGGAAAGAACTGTTCCAAATGCAACCAATTAGACTTTCTTCCATTTAAGTGTGAGTTTTGCAATTCTGTCTTTTGTTCTAACCATCGTACTTTAGAAAGTCATCAGTGCCCTGGTTTGAGTAAGGTAGAAAAAGGTAGAAAGCATGTGAACTACGCGGGGCCGACGGCCTCTTCGTTGTTTCCAGATAGGGAAGCTGATAAAAAGAAAGTGAACGAAACTATAACTAAGAGTGTACCGAAAGCGACCAACATATTAGAGAAGCAATTTCGAGTTGGAGACGTTGCATCTTTGACTCCAAATGCATTTTCAAAGTTTAATAAATTTCTTAGATTACAAAAGAAGAAAGGTACTAGTAGTAAGAATAGTGTATTTGGAAGAGTTTTTGGATCTTCTTCTGTTTCTGCATCGGCTTCATCTTCAAAAAATAGAGTTTCTGAATTAGCAATTTTAAGGAAAGGTGCCAAAGGCGATATGAAGATTACTTCGAACAATAGAATCTATTTATGGTGCTTGTATGTCAATCCTCAAAATACGCAGTCGGATTCTGAAGAGTCAGAACTATTTGAAAAAATTAATATAGAACGAGATAGGCACCCTTTGTTTGTATCTCGTGCCTGGCCGGTTGGAAGAGCTTTAGATTCAATCGCAGATCACTTGAGCATTCGCAATTTGAATAATTCGACAAGAGATTCGAAGGAAAGGCTTTACATGTTTCAGTTGAATGGTGAGTCTCCTAATATGATTAATACTTCGGAAAGATGTGAAAAGGCTTTCAAAAATGGCGATGTGGTATATTTGGTCCGTGGCAGTATTTGAATAATTTACAAGTATGACGTTCACTTCATTTTCAGGGATAACTTTAGAGAGTTTATGTAAATTTATAACGATGAAATCAATATATAGCATCAGGATCATTAATTGAGTAGTCGACCCAACTCATCATGCAGTTTTGGTCAGATAAATGTTTCCATATACTGAATTTTCCAGTTTCACAGCCTGAAGCTTTTGGGGTATTTGGACAATTGAGATATGGATCATGATAATACCCTATATCTCTAAACCAGTGAATATCATTTTTATCAGCGAATAAGCTCAAGCCTACAGAGTGCACTGGTGCATCGCCCCATCTCTCATAATAGAACTTGCCAGTGGAGTCCAAGTACCTGAACCAACTATCGTAAGGCTCACTTCTGAAAAAATCCATATCACCAATTTCAAAGTTAGACCAGAAGTGGCAAGTAGAATATCCATTAGCAACGAGGTTTTTTTTGGGATTTTGTTGGTCTTCTAATAACCATTGGAATGCGCCATTTTTATTAACAAGCTTGAAATTATCATCTGTATTTAGGAACTTGAGTGTTTCGGGCCAAAGAGTTGCAACAGATTCGTCGATATCGTAGAGAGAGATTGTGAATCCATACTTTTTCTTAGTCCCCTCCAAGTATTTAAATACGTCATAATTTACGTCACTGTAGAAGTCGACGCTTGGCTCGAGTCTCCAGTAATATCGATAATCTTGTAATTCAGGAACATTGTAAAAGTTTCCCAGGTAAAATCTGCACATATTATGGTAAGATTTCTTTTGGGCATAGGCAATATTATGATCTGCCATTGCTCTCATTGCTTCTCTTTCTTTTTTAGTGTCTATGTTTGAAGGCTGATCCCACAATTGCGGGGGGATTTGGACGAAGTTCATAGGTGCACTGCTGGCTTTTCTCATCCTATCTTTGAATCTTTCAGTGAAAGGTTGATCATTCAAAAATGTGTAAGGATACTGAAACTTAGAATTGAATGCTTTCTCAAGTCTTCGGATTGATTTGATAATACCTGAAGCCTCTGTGTTTCTAACCAAAGCGATTATTGTCGCATTAGCGTGGTCATACCCACTGATGTCCTCAGGAGGTCTAATGGAGTCAATATTAAAGTCTTTGGGCTCATTAATTTCTTTAGATACTAAATCAGCATATCTGTTGGAATTTTGTTGCAATATCATATCTGGCAGACCGTGTTTATTCTTCGGATTAATAAATTTAAATTGAACATTTTGGGGCTCTATCTGGTAACCAATATCTTCAAGTAGACTATTCGCTACTGCTTTTGGTTTATATTTATCATTGAACATCTGGATACCGTTCCATATCCTTCCCTTATCAACATATTTATGTGAATTCAAATATATCAATGCGAAGAGCAACCCGGTAACATTGATCAAAATAATCAATATGAAGATCGCCTTCGATATTCTAATAGAATTGGCCGATATCATGAATTATGTACGATACTTAATTTAAAAAGATTCAATAATTATTCATATCGTAGTTATGTATCCACTTTCTTTGAAGAGCTGATCTAAAATTATTCGTGTTCACTCTCTCGGTATTTATGTTATGTTGTGTATATACCAGTATTCAAATCGAAGATTAAATACTCTTAAACCTACTCACAGAAAGGCTCAAATCAATGAAAGGGAGCCGGATATTAGGAAAGCTGATTTCCTTTATCGCTCATAGAGGCTTGACAACGATAGGTTTACCCGAGAAATATGCTACTGTAGGTAAATTTAGCTTTCCCGTTGCAACACACACGGTACAGAGCATAAGCGAAGATCTTGGGGGTTTTTTGAAAAATCAAGTAAGGGTTACTTTGAATGGTCATCTCAATAGAAGACCCAGAATAAGATCAACAAAGAGCTTTGCGGAATTGAGAGATACAGATGGGAATGTTACGCAAATTTTAATGAGTCCTGACCATACGGATCAAAAATTCATTGACATTCTAAGATCAGCGACTCCAGAGGATTCAGTAAGCGTTAGCGGATATGTGAAATTGAAAGAAACGAGACCAGATCAGCCTCTAACTGGAAAGAAGGAATGGGAATTAGTAGTTGATGACTACCAAGTATTGAATCTGTCCAATTTGGATGCCGCAAGGTTAGATAAGCTTAAACATTCGTCACCCAAGGATTTACCTCCTCAATTTAGATATTTGCAACTAAGAACGCCATTCTTTCAAAAAGCTTTAAGGATGAGAAGCAAAGCCAGTCATTTGATGAGGAATATCTTGACCGAAAAGTATGACTTTGTTGATCTTGAGACGCCCTTATTATTTAAGTCAACGCCTGAAGGTGCAAGAGAGTTCTTGGTTCCAACAAGGACGTATGATAGATTTTATGCCTTGCCTCAGTCGCCACAACAGTACAAGCAAATTTTGATGAGCTCAGGTTTCACGAAGTATTTCCAAATTACAAAATGTTTTAGAGATGAAGACTTGAGGTCCGATAGACAACCAGAATTCACGCAAGTTGATTTGGAGATGAGTTTTGTCAATCATAGGGAACAGGTGACAGATGTTGTTGAGGATTTGGTAAAACAAACATGGAACAAAGTCGGTAATTATTCTACCTATCGCTTAAATCAAGATGGTCACTTAGAAAAGATCGAGCCGGGAACCGAAGGTAAATTTTCTAAACTTACCTATCTTGATGCACTTGAAAACTACGGTATAGACAAACCTGATCTTAGGTCATCTATAGAATTCAAGAACCTATCAAACTTCTTTATATCAAAGAAGAACGAAAATTTTCCTGTCGTTGAAGCGTGTGTGTTGAAGAATGCCTTCAATCCCTCGGGGGCCTTTAAAATGCCCAAATGTTTGGTAGATCCTAAAAGCTATTCTAGGCGCAAGCCAACTATATTAGCATTGAATAATGAAAATGAGTGCAAAAATTGGTATCAAAAATTTGTTGACAAGTCGGTCTTAGAGAAAACTTCACGGTTTAAAGAATCTGATTTGAATCATTTCTTGGGACTCGCTCCAGGCGACATTCTTGCTTTCTCTAGCCGAGCTGAACTTCCCTATGAAAATCCTACTCCTTTGGGACGCTTTCGTCAGTTGGCTATAAAAGAATTCCCTGGAAAGTGGGAAAGAAAAATATACAACCTGAAAACAAAACTTCTTGAAAACTGTCCGAATATAAACGAAATATTTGTTGGATCATGGGTCATTGATTTTCCCCTATTCAACCCAATCGAAACTTCGACTGATCCTGCCGATGACTTTCCTACCTACAACTATTCTAAGTATGAATCTACACACCATCCTTTCACAATGGTCAAATTGGAAGATTACGAATATTTAGGTAGTGATCCTCTCAAAGCTCGCGGTGAGCACTATGATTTAGTTATCAATGGAGTTGAAGTTGGGGGTGGATCCCGAAGAGTCCACGATCCCGAATTACAGAAGTACATTTTCCTTAACATTTTAAACATCCACAACTACGATAAGCTTTTCGGTCATTTATTGCATGCCTTGAGTATGGGATGTCCACCGCATGCTGGATTAGCCCTAGGATTTGATAGACTCTGTGCGATGTTGGTAGGGTCTTCTAGTATTAGGGATGTTATCGCATTTCCTAAGAACCAGTCAGGAGTCGATCCAGTTATAGAGAGCCCAACATCGATTAGTTTGGAAACTCTTAATGAGTATAGAATTACTACAATTGCTAAATAGATTTCTTAAGTGTTTATATATGTACATAGATAATTCTTTTATAAATGCTTATTTTCTATTCTTCTTCTTTTGCCATTGGTATCATAAGGATAACCATGGTTAGAACGTTTTGAGGCATCTATAGGGTTTTGCCTCTTTGCCAATTGTTCAATTTTCAAGTCAATAGGCTTTTCAGGTTTTTGATCTTCGAAATATTCCTCCTGTTGTTGTTTTATGACCTGCCTCCAGTCACTCCTTTTTCTTGTGAAAAGCTCCATAGACCAGTTCTTCCAAACCAATTTCCCATATTTGCTCTCTTTCACTTTATGAGACTCGTTCAACAACTCCGTAGCAAATCGATCTTTATACATAGGCAATGCAATTGTAAAGGTCCACAACTTGTCCACAATATGAGATCCATAAGAATTGCACGACAAGTTTGCAATCTGATTTTGAAACAAGTTAAGAACTCTTTTTCTTAAAATTAAAGTTTCCTTGGATTCAGATGGTACGAATTTAAGAGATTCTTCGACTGCGTGGGAAAATACACCGTGATAACACATTTGAATAAACCTTCCTGAAGGTAAATTAAGAAAACTATTCCATAAGCAGAAGAGAAAGCACGAATCATAGTCTACCAATTTGCTCAAGAACAAAGTCCTTCTCCTCTCTTCGACCGTTGGCCAATCATCACGAGTATTTCCTAAGGTAGAACTTTCCAACATCAATACATTCTCTGCAAGAGAAGAATCAGACTGCTTATCTTCATAATACTCGGGTGCAAATTTTTTCATGAGCTGGTCAACTATATCTTCTCTTCTATAATGGGATCTTCGCTCAGATGCATCTAGAACGGCTTTGGCAAGATCCAAGTTTTGAATTTCTGTAATCGAGATTAAGTTTGCTAATTCTGGAATCAACTGATCTAAAATAAATTCAACTTCTCTAGGTTTTAGCTTGAGCAATAGAGCTTGAACGATATACACACCTGTATTGTGCCTTCTTGCTAGTTTCAAGATCCTATCCTTCATATATAATTCATATAGTCTCTCAATGAACATTAGTCGAACTCCAGTGTTCTTTACAAACGATTCAAGAAAATGGGATCCCACTGAATCTGAAAGTAAATATTCCATGAACGCTTCTTCCTGTGGTTCCTTGCCATTGGAGTCAAATAAAAGAAACCAAATTTTTCTTTCCTTATCCACGATTCCTTCCACTTGAACTAATAGCTGTAACACTGGAGACCCTACTTTATGAATTGCGAGCTCCCTGATGTGCTTCGTATCCTGACCTTGAATAGAGATTGAACAAATGTCTTTCAATTGGTCTTTGAATGATGCAGGAGTCTGGAATGACCTATTAAAATCATCGTTGTCCTTGATTTCAATCATTTTTCTTGCAATCTTAGATTTTTTGGACCTTAATACTGAGTTTGAAGTGGTAGTTGAGGGCAACTCTTTGCCAGAAAGCACTAGAATTAACAATCTTAAGACATGTGATGAATATGGGTCCGTAATCATTATCTTTATATGAGGCTTAAGTTCATCAATCATTGCATTAAATAATGATTCCATGGTAACATCTGCTTCCTCGTCGTCTTCTTCATCTCCAACTTGTATGTCGCCATCAATTCCTGTGAGTTCCTTTTCGATAAGAGCAGCTGACCTCACAAACAATGTCTCTAAAACATGTGAGGAATATTTGTGATGACATAGTTCAAAGAAATGCTTTGAAAACAGTCTGAAAATTCTCTTGAGCTGAGCACTATTGGCAAGAAGAATCAAACGTTCCATTAATTTCGAACATATTTGGTTGGTCACAAGCTTGAGCTCTTTTCCTTTTGCTTCTTCTAATATCGATCTTGTAAATGTCTCTCGCTCTTCGTCACTTTCAAATGTATTAATATTAAGTGTCTGCTCTGCTTGCTTGAAGTAATCTAACTCGTTAGAGTCAACTAATCCAAAAAAAGTAGTCTTAGTGATCAAATTGTCCTCTGAAGGCTCAGCGATCTCATTTTTGTCATTGCTGTCTGTATCAACTTCATCGGCAACCTTCTTCTCTAACCTTCTTCCTCTTGATTTGCCTTTTCCCATTTTTTTTATCCTTCAGAGGTACTAATTGTATCTTGAAATTTTTTTTTTTTTTGGTCTTCGCGCCCATCTCATCTATAGATTAAGTATACAAAACTGTCCTAGTGCACATCAATCTCATACTTATATAAGATATATAGAGAACCCAGTGGATATATGGAGAGTCATCATTGTGATATTATTGCTATCATGAGATTATGGATTCCTTTCTCTCTAGTTGATCTATGTATTTACCTTCCCTCAAAGGATCTAGCTTTATCAATTTTAACAACAGCTCTTTAATTTCATCTGACATCAAGTCTTTTTTGTTCTCTCGATTAATCAAACTCTTGATCAAAACAATGCTTTTCAAACACCAGCAGTTATCAAGGTGCTGTGGGTGGTCTTCTATTTCCAATTCATTCAACTCCTCCACTACTTCTAACTGCTGTGTTAAGATATCTGAGTAACTCTTCCGTTCCACTTGGTGATGACTCTTCAAGTCATTTACGAACAATTCGTCAGTTAAGAGCCACCTTAAATATAGCCAAACGGAAGAATCGTCGGCGTCCATATACATTCCTGTCTTTATCAATTCCAACTCGTGAAGCAATGTTACGTAGGGATCTGAGAATATTTGCTCGTCAGCGAATTGCCCCGTTTTCCCTACTTTCAGTAATATTTGGTATATTTTGGGAATTAACTTCGTTCTGTTGTGCCAAGCCGAGAAGTTTGAAATATTCTTGTTGACTTTTGTTGTAGTATACTGCAACTCGTTGATATTGATCTGCAAAGACCCTACCAAAGCCTGGTCTGGCGGCAAATTTTTTTCCATGTTATCTACTACATACCTTCTATATTGCCAGCCATGAAAATTTCGATTGTCCAACTCAAGTAGCTTGGATACTATACCTAACTCATATTTCCAGTTCGCCAAATGCTTCTTTTGCAATTGACCCAAGCACCATATACGATGATTCCATATCCAATAGCACTTCGGAAACCTCTTCAAATGAGCGAGAACCATCTGTAAATCTTCCTCCAAAGCTTGCTTCATATCAAGTTCTTGTTTTTCAAATAAGCTCAAAAGTATTTCTCTTCGGAAATTCCAAACTGTATAAAATTCTGGATTTATGTTTAAGAGTGTAGTGGTTTCGCTAAGTGATCCGATGCTATAGTTCCCGCTATCTCTCAAGTCTAAAATTCGATTTGTAAGCTTTCTGTAGTTCGCTATCTTTATTTTGTCCTTTTCCAATTTAGCCTTCCTGGCTTCTTCTGTCAATTTTACTTTTTTGATCCCATGCTCCTTCATTTGTTAGTGCTGTATGAACATTTGTTACTAATTTACTTACCATTCTCTTATATTTACCTTTGCCTTTAGTCAAATAACCAACTGGAGCCAAATATTAAATTATGAGTCGCGTTTCCTATATATATTTAATATAAATAATAGCATTTAGGTTAATCTTGGTAAAACTCAAATAGGGATCTAAAGTTGATGTCAGAAAGTATTAGGAAGCTGAAGGAAGTATCTCCTCTCTCCAAGCTTGCACTTAAAGGGTCTTCTAAGGTCGTTGCGGATTATTTTGAATTTGCAATTAACGCCATCTTATTTCAAAGAGGAATTTATCCGCCAGAAGATTTCCATACAGTCAAAAAATATGGCTTACCATTGCTCATCAGCAGCGATGAAGAGGTCCAGGATTACATCAAACAGATTATGAAACAAGTTAAAAAATGGGTTTATGGAAAGAAAATTGTAAAATTGGTTGTGGTGATAGTGTCAAAATCTACCGCCGAAAACATAGAGAGATGGGAATTTAGCATTGATATTTTAAAAGAACCAGGACAGGAAATAGGGCAGGATATCACGGGTGATACTGGCAAGGATATTCTGGAAACTCAAAAGGAGATCCAATCGATCATAAGACAAATAACGTCCCTGGTTTCCTATTTGCCAATTTTAAAAGACGACGATTATACATTTAATGTACTAGTTTATACAGACTCTAATTATGAGGCTAGCAATATACCCTTAGAATGGTGTGATACAAATGGTGATGGGAAACTTCTCGAAGGCGACGATGTGGAAAGGGTCAAGTTTACGTCGTTCAGTACAGATATCCATCAGGTGGGAACGTTTGTCAGTTACAAGTTGAGTAAATAGAGTAGCACATATAATAGTCATTACTTTCCATTCTAATTACTTCTTTTTAATTTTTCGAATTCCGAATCGAACCTTCTTCTCTTATTACTGGAAATAAACCTTGATGACCCCTTCAAGCCGATTGAATAGTCCCAGCAAGATAGATACTCGTCTTGCTTCAATAGTTTTTCAGTCGAACAAGATTTTTGATCTAAAATTTTTAGATCATTGAACCTTGACTTTAAATCCATGAATTTGAATATTTGTTCTTTCCCTGTCTCCAGATCGATCGATGGCATGAATTCATTTAGTATAGAGAAATTCATCTGATGAACATAGTAATCCAATATATAAATTATGCCTTCATTAACCAAAGTCTCTGGACACCTGAACCCCTCATAACAGTCTATTGTCTCTAAGATTTCATTTAATTTGGGAGAAGAATTCGATGCATCATCTTGTGTATACTTCAGTCGAATTTCTTTCGGTTTAAGGTTCAAAGTCACTATAATTATTGCTAAAGCAATGCAATGAGGAGGGATTATTAGGCATAAGGGAGTAGACATCAAATCAAAACTGATAAGCCAACTATACATCGTGGTTTTATAGTCAACTTCTAATTTTTTGCAGAATTGGACGACTAGCTGGTCAGTGCTTTGGATCGAGGAGCCATTAATAAAGTCAAATTTTATGACTTGCAACAACTTGAATTCTATGTTCATTATTGCCTTTCGTTGTAAATCTAGATACTGTTGTTGCATCAAGGATTTATCATTTCTTTGCCTGTTGCTGACTGCTTGTATATCCTTCAATTTCTTAATACAGTCCTCGTTCTTCGAAGCCAAGAATAAGCAAGTAAGTGCAATTGTATATGTGTCGTTCTCCAAGTCTGTCGCATCGTTCATCTCTTCAAATTTATTGAATAAATACCACCTTTGGTAGTAATTCATGGTAGTTCCTAAAACCCTCAAAGGAAGCTTCAAAGCCCGAACAATTTGAAATACATACTGATATATCTGGTGCTTTCTTTGGTTGAATGTTAACTTTTTCTGTTCTGGAATAGTGAACGAATGTACATATGATAATTCAGAGCTCGTGAAAAAGGGCCGTGACACTTGTAGAATGCTAGGCCTTTTCGATGAGTCGACCTTATTTATAGCATCTTTCTGTAAGCTTGTCTCTGACATCTCATCAACGGATTCGAACTTTGATACCAACTACTGGGAATTCTTTCCATGTACAAAGACATCTCAAGAGGCTTTTTCATATTATGAAAAGCCTGCACATAGGGTTGGTCTACTGCTTAGTATCGTAATTCATATATAGAATAATATAAAGAATCGGGTTTCCTAACTACATAACTACACTTAAGCAGAAAAGGACAAAGAGAAACCGAGCTTATGCACAGGCTCGGCCAATTTCAAGGCATCAAAAGAAGCTCCTAATCCCAAGGTGACACCTGGTCTCAATTTTTGAGAATATGCCAAGGCAGTCAATCCTGAGTCGGCAATTTTAGCCTTGATGAAAGCGCTGCTGTCTAAAGCATACTTGGTAGCAAACTCGACACTGACGTTGGAAGATTTGACAGAATCCCAAGTGGCCTTTGCACCTGCTTCAACTAAGGGGGAGACCTTGTGGTAGTAAGCAGCTGTGAAAACGGACAAGTTAGAAGTTGCAGTTGCGGAAACAGTATAGATAGGGTTAGCGTAACCTACACCAACAGAATACTTGTTGACCTTGGCAGAAGCAATGTCGTAACCTAATTCACCACCAGCAACAAAACCATCGTGAGAAGCAGCCAAATCAGCAGTTGCGACAGGACCTTTCAATAAATCAAAGAATAATCTAGCATTAACGGCTGATTGTTGGTAGAAGAAGTTCAACTTGGCATTACGAGGACCGTTAGGAACGACGGAGGTGTTTAACTCACCTTTCAAGCCTGGGGTCAATAACTCAGACAACTCGATCTTGGTGTTCAAAGAGTTGGCGTTATTCCAGCCCTGAGTCAAGGTCAATCCACTAGACTTGTCGGCATATTTAGCATCAACTGAAGCAGCAATTGAGTTGTCCTTAGCTGTCTTACCTTTGACAGTAAAAGCGACTCCATTAGGAGCAGTAGACTTAACATCAACTGAAGCAGTAGCAGCGTGGAAGAAGTCACGACTTAACAAATCGTTAGTTGGCTTTTGGATATCTGAATAAGCAGTAGACATTTCTTGAGAAATTCTTCTTTCGATAATTGATGAATTAAAGATTGATCACAGATTGTTTTCACAAATCGTTGAGAATGCCGGAGAATATTTAAATATATATGATTTGTTGGCGCTGACAGCGTGCTCAACAACGTGCCGGCATGTGCCCTAACGCGCAGGATATTTTGAGTCTAGCGAGATCTAGCTGAGTTACACGCACTAAGTTCTCACAGTTGGCGTGCCACATTATTTCTTCTCCCTGTCTACTGCGCACTTGTACAGCGTTTTACCCTCCCCGCCTCGGTCTTAGTTAGCGAGTATTGTACTACATGCAGATCTTGTTCGTAACTACTAATTAATGCGTAAGGTGATAAGAACTTTGATGGATAGCTCTATATTTGTTACTTCATGACCAAAAATAAAAGACTAAAATATACTTACGGAATTGTCTACTGTCCTGAGCTCCGCAAAGTTCTTCTCCTAAACAGACAAAAATCGCCTTGGATGGGAAGATGGAACGCTGTGGGAGGTAAATTGGATATCGATGAGTCTCCTAGAGAGTGCATTGTGAGGGAAACCTATGAAGAGACTGGGCTCAGTCTATCACAGTATGTCGCGAGAGGGGTAACCAGATGGAATGTAGATGATATTGATTTCAATGGGATGTACTTGTTCACAGCGCAGGTATCATCTGAGACGGTGAGATCGTATAAGACTCCAGTTGTTTTCTGTCATGAAGGTATATTGGATTGGAAGGATATAGATTGGATTTTGGATCCCCAAAATACAGGAATTGTTGCTTCTTTACAAAAGCTGCTAAAACTAATACTATCAGGAGATAAGGACGACCTCTACCTGTTAACGTATACATCCAATGACTTGACAGCATTTGAGTATATTCCTAAAGGAAACGTAGAATATCCCGTGGATTAATGAGCTAATACGATATTTCTTTATATAGACAAATATATGTATATAAATATATATATATATATATATATATATAT